TAGCGGCCAAATTTCTCATGAACATAGTAAAGTACATGTTCTAAAAAAGAATAGAACTCTACAACAAATGATTTTTTGAGAATATCTCATTATTACATTAAAACTAAAGACCTATTCTATCAACTAATAGCGTTATTTTTTTAAAAGATAGGACAGAAAGTGACTTCTATACTTTTAAAATTTATGCAAATCTTAGGAGGTCTTTAGACCGAGCCAACTATAATAATCCAAGGTCATTAGAACCATTATAATAATAGATTAATGAATTATATATATATTTTTTAATTTTATTCAATAAATTGATTCTATGAAATTTCCTTTTTTGAATAATTGCTTAACTTCTTCATCGTCAACAACATCTGTGATTGAGTTTGTTTCATAAATTCACTATCCAATATTGATACTTTATTGAATATCAATTCCATTATTATCAGACATTTTGAAAAATTTTTTTTTATACATTAACATTAATAAAAACCGGATTCAATCCTCTTTTTTTTTTTTTAGAACCGATTATCCATTTTCAAACCGGTTTACGGATTCAAACCGATTTGGGTCAAACCGAATCCAAACTCTTGTTCACTTTATCTAGTTTTGATATTGATATATGCTTTTTTTTCTTTCTAATAATCTTGATTTTAATACAACAGTTCATTCCTACGTGTATTTTTGAGCCTTCGTTCGCTATAGAAATAGGATGTTCGTTGTAATGAGAAATTAACAATAAAATGAAAAGGCGAATTATAGTGTGATTTTACTTAATTCTCGTTATAGAAAGGACCATTATGGAGTGTGTGAGTGAACCGTATAAATCAACGAGGATACGATGACACTATAAAAGTATCTCTACTTGAAAGAAATTTGATAGACGGGATATATTAGGATCGGTAACCTCAATACGTGAAAAAATGAAAGGTTTTATTGCAAGAAAAGCAAGGACTAAAAGATGGTGTTTCAATGAGAACATCACTTAAATGTGAGTGTAAAGGAAGTAAATAATGTGTTGAAATTCTAAATCTAAACGTTGTAATTATTCTTGAACAACGAATGCTTCTTCCGGGCCATAGAAATTCATGTTCTTACAGAATTTAGCCGGTTATTATTATAAAATTTCTATTTTGAGATATCCAAGGTTTTTGATTAAATATATGGGAGGACCTAACTCGCGATTTTAAATCAATAACATTAATAATAATATATGTAATTCGTCATTATTAAATAAAGTTTCGATAATAATAAATAATAAATTATAATAATTATAATTATTATTTATTATACATTATAAAAATTGCCGATGCCCGTTTTTAAAAAAATAATTTCCCGTTTTCCACTAACCAATAATTTTCCTATATTAAACAAAAAACATAAGCTGAACCAAAAGTTTCAATCAAAGCAAGAAGCTAGCTTAAATACTGGTCATTCTACGACAGGCTGAAGGTATTTCTTTTATTGGCACTTATTTCAAGACTAGCATACAACCAGAAGGGGGAATGAAGCAAATTCGATATAGATAAATGTGTTAAAGCATGCTTTATAAATTTGTTAAGAACTTTTTGAAGGATAGATCGGAAGATTAATCTTACAAGGTGTTGAGGTTAGAACCAGTAAAAAAACCCTGACCGATCAGCTGTTTAACCGGTCCCAACCTTTAATTCCGTTTGGGTGAGAAGACACTTTTATTTGAACTTGGCACGCTCCTACACCTCCAG